CGTTATGGAAAGATTTTCATGTAGAATTTGAGGATCAAAATTACGGAGTTAGAGAATTTAATGTTATTTCGGTAACAATACAACGCGAGAGATAGCTAGAGCACGAAATATTAGTGCGACCACAGTGTCTGTATATATAAAAAATGTACTCTTGAGCAAATCCGGTCGTCCGCGTATACTAAATGAGCAGCAAGAATGGCAGTTCGGCTCATTTACTTTTCATGGTTGCTCCACTGCCTTTCAAGTCCGAAATCTCAGCCAACCATTCGTCAGGAAAAAATCCATAATCTATACCTGAACATCAACAATTCGCTGAAAATTATAAAAATTGGATCAATGAAGATTATTCAAGATAATATGGTCCGATGAATCGTTTTTAGGTTAGACGGACGTGAGTATTATTAGAAGATACCCAACGAACCATTAAACAGCCTTCCTATTAAGCCTGCATTTGAATTATGTGGGGAGTGGGTAATGGTGTGTGGGGTTGATCACTTTTCGCGGTGTTGGTAACTTTGCAAAATTGATGGGACGATGAATGGTGAGTTATATCGATTTATTCTTACGGAAGACCTCATAAATACTACGAGAAACATGGTTTCGTTATCAATGACGTTATCTTTCAATAGATAACGATCCTAAACATACAGTCAGTGATACGAAACAGTGGTTCGTTGATAATGGAGTGTCAGTTTTTGATTGGCCGTCCCAATCACCGGATCTCGGTGTCTTCCCGTATTAGTTACGGGTAAAGAGGATCTATGGACGAAGATACAGCAGAGAGATTGATGTCGATTATTGTACTCTGCCGGAACGAGTTAATGATGTAATACAAAAGATGGCTATACAAGATGGTTTTCTGCTTACTAAATATATAACGAGAAAATACGAGTTATGTAAATTGTGATTAAAAACGAACAAAATAATGCACCACCTGAAATTGGATTCATGCTGAATATGTTGATATAAAATATAAAATAAAACTAAGAAATTCTTTTTGCACATTTTCCAAATCTTCAGGTAATTGCTGAGCTGTATTTGTATAGTAATAATTGTTTAAATTAAGAAATTACCAACCCACTTGCTACTAAATTTATATTCATTAATATTAGGATAAGTAACAGTATACTGAGCTTTTTTTTGCTATATTTTTGGCTTTTATTTGAATATTGATCGGATGACAATGCATAAATTTTGACAAGATCCTTAATCCATGTAATTATTTCTTCTAGTTGCTGGAGCACCTTTACTCAATTGACAAATATGAGGTGCAACACGTAATGATTTGTCTTTGCTTTTGCACCAGTTTCTTACTTGAACAGGCTCAATATTAAACTTGGTTTTTCTAACATTATTTTTTTTCAGAATACATAATTATAGCCAACTTTTCACGAGCATTCCAAGTTCGCCATTTTTTTGGGGGGTTAGACGAGCATGCATAACTTTATTGTTTCCAGTAGTGGCATTATAAAACATGAAACTATTATTTGAAAATAGTAAGAGTAAATAAGTGTTTAATTATTGTTTTGAGGAAAATACGCGTTCAAGTATAAGGGTAATTTTAATGAATAATCTGCAAGGTAATGGTTACGCAATCAGTAATTTTAGTCTTATCTAGCATATGCATCATCATGATTCCGACAAGAATATTATTGGGTTATTCATGATGAAAAGAAAATTAATGATTTATTCAATAAATTGCTTATTTATTATACATGTATATGCTATGTAATATCTCCCCCGTGAATTGTGTGATACAATATCCTAACCCGAACAAAATACTCTCCCGAGTACTATTCAATTTTTACAATCGTTTAGTGTAAGATACTCGGGGGTATTCGTGGCAGTAATACTGCTCTTTATATTTGATTTTCCTTTGAGTTAGAAACATCCTTTATAATAAATTAGCTTTTTCCGCTCTTTTTATATTTAATATATTTTTAAATTTCTCTTTAAGTTAGAACCATCTTTTATATTAGTAAGATCGTTTTAATAGGGTTGTTAATTGAGCACTCCAGGACATTAAAATAATAATTTTTAGTAGGATAATATCTAGTAAATTAAATCGATAACATGTTCCTGAAGGAGTGACCAAGAGTGATCAACTTCTTTGTGTTTAGGCACATATTTATCGCTATATTTCTTATACTCTGACAATTTGCTACGTTCTTAATACTACTTCAACCAAATACCTATACAAATTGGTTGGAAGCATGCTAAAGAGAATGTACAATCTATTAAAAATCTTTATATATACATGTATAATAAAAATATAATACACAAAAAGGTCAGATCTGGAAGTGACTCAATAATTAAAAATGTCAATCAAAAAATTGTAACAAATACTTTTGCTAGGGTAGTGTATAAAAAGATGCTGTAGGTAATATGTATGCATTTTTTTAAATTATAAGATCTGTTAAACGTTACTAGTAATCTTGGTACATGTATAACGGTTTTTAAATTTAATTTTTTCACATAGAGGATATGGTGAATTTTAATACAAGTATTTTTGTAAAAAATCAATTTGAAGTGTAAAAATTCGTAGTATTGTAACATATATAAATAAGTTTGCAAGAAATAAGGTTTATTCTATGAAACAGTAAATTTACAATTTATATAATATCTCATAAAGGTTTGTAGGAAACCGTCAATTCCGAACGTTTTGAAGTTTTCAAGCGATAACTTTTTATTGTTATAGTGTATTAATACAATTTCATAAAACTTGCATTTCTCACACCCATTATTTTATGTGATGATTTATGCATCAAAAATTTAATTTTGCTAAAATCGAGTAAACTCAAACATTTCAAGTTAATTTCTATCAATGCTTAATTAAATCCTCGACTCATAAAAAAATATAAAAATAATCGCGCTTTCTTAACAACTTACCGTATTTGTGTGTTTTTAAGTATGCCCTTTTTTTCTAGTAATTCTTAATTTATTATATTTATATGTAAATATTTGCATATATTTGTCACAAGTATACAACAAAATACGGTAAACAGCTTTCCATTCAATTACAAATTTAGATCGATCAAAACATCAAAAATAAGTTGAAGAAACAAAAATGATGGCATCCCTATTTGATAATCGGTTAACGTTTAAAAGCCCTGCTGGAATTTTTTTCACAATAAACTGCTCCAACATCTGATTCACCAATTGTTGCTCTGATTGTCGCCAAAGCACTCGAAATGTCACCAATCACACTAGCCGCTCGTAGCAGATATCAGTCGCGAGTTCAAAAAATTAGCAAAAGAAAATGTACATTGATATGAATATGTATATGAAGAAAATTTTCCTTAGAATGGCTTTCTAAATATTAATAAATAAAGATATATTTTTGAGATTGCTTTACGTATGTAGCATCACCATTTCATTATGAAATAATTACAAAGGGCGATTTGCTTATTTATTTATAAATTCAATTGCAAAAACTATTCATACATTACATTTTTTCCATAATTTACAAAATTAGCTTATATTACATAAAAAATTTAACATATAATTTAACCATACACAAACGAATGGTTTTTCTCATCGTCAGACGAGGACGACATTTGATTTCCAGAATTTTTCGCCACATTCTCTTCCTTACTCTTCAATGATTGCAATGCATCATTACCCGACATTTTTTTCGCCGAAAAAGCAGTTCCCATCGGTCCACCAGTCATCATATTGGTGTCGTCTTTATCTATGTTATTCTCTTTTGTAACTTGATCTACCACGGCGGACTCCATATTGAGATTATCCATATCAGAATAGTCGTTGTTTTTATTACTTGCAGCGTTGTCCGAATTCATAAGTATTCGTTTCGTAATGTGGTTTTTAGTGTTGATTGTCGATGACAATGCAAAGGAGGTAAATAATAGCAATAGGATCATAGAAGTGAGTGAGAAAGAGAAATCGGATGGCATCTTTGTTGCAAGGTAAAGATTATTATTAAAAGTGAGCGATTTTGTGGATTTATATTATTATGACTCCAGTGTCAAAAGGAATTTTGTTTTATTTTTTTTTTATTTTTTGTGTTGGGTATTTTTGAATTTTTTGAGGAGGAAGAACTTGTTGATTTATACGGTTTTTTGTCGAAAGTTCAAGAGTCGAAATTTCTGTTTGGAATGATCAAATTAATTGTTATTTATAATATGATTGATGATAAAAATAATAAACCAAATTATTGTCAGTTAATCAATAGAATCGGTCTTTCATGCAGATTGACTTGTCTAATACGTAATTATATCAGAAATATTATACTCACGATCCAAATTAGACCTTTTTCCCCGGATTCAGGATTAAGCATTCCAAGGAAACTAAAGAGTCTCAAGTTCCATCCGATAGGAAATAGAGAGGTTTAAGGTGTATACGTTATTTAATAGTTTAGTGAATATCGATACCCATCTTTTGTTTTTGCTTACTTGAAATGCTATGAGCATCAATAAGAGAAATGATCCCGGTTTTTGCGAAATTAAGTTGATGGCAACTGAATACAAAAATCAACGAACCTAAATTAAAAATTTTAAACAAAAATATACCTGAACGGGGGCTCTTATAAACTTTCTCAGCTACCTTTTTAACTTCATTCAAAATCTTCCAATTGTGTGTTCCGCGTTACTATAATACCGAACTCCAGTTTTGTCTACTCTGAAACTTTCTTCGCGTATTTTCCTATTAAAAATTGACATTACCATATTGATACTTTATTCGCGAGGTACAATTGCGGGTGATGAAGTTGATAATCTATTTATAAAGATGATTTTTACAAATTAGATAATAATTGTTTCTGTTTTATTCCTATTTTAACACCCAGTTTCTTTCCTTGCCCTACCACTCTATTTATAAAATTATTCCCTTTGTTTAATCACTTTATATAATTTTGTCGCTGCAACGTTACACCACGATCCTTGGTTTGGAAGAGAGAAGTATCAAACTGTAAACAATAAACAAAAAGGTCGACATGTATCGGATATTCTGAAGACAATGATAAAGAACATAAATAATGTTGTGCAAAAAAAATTAACAAGAAATGATGGCAATAATTCCAAAATCTCGCGTTTTTTTCAAACACGAAATCTCCCAAATAATCGTTACTACCTATTCAATCACGACATGAACGTCCTGTCAAAAACAAAAAATGTTAGTAAAAAAAAAGAAAAGAAAATATTAACGTTAGAACGTTAATTCAGCTCCACCTGATGAAATAATTAAATTTGAATGCACTTTTTGATAAATCAGATTATTGAAATCAAGATCGAATCAGAATAGTATATAGCAATAGCAGTAAATTTTTGTATAGCGATAGTGATAGAATTCAAATGACTCATCGATCAATTGATACACGCTCATAATCAAACCAAAAGAAGAGGCATTATTCTTTATCGTTATGTATAGGTACTTTATTTTGACATATTATTCAACTCAGGTAACAATAAAGCAATTTAGTGTAAAAACTAAGTCAAACTATATCGACAAACAAAACATTTGAGAAAATCTTCATGACAAAGTCAAATTTTGATTTCATTAGTGTGTCACATTTTTCCAATACCATCTCGATCATTGATATAAAATTCCGGTTGAGTTTTATTAATGTCAAGCAATGTTTGAGCGCGTAAAAGAAAAAGTGACGGAATAAATGACTTATAAAAATTGTATGCTGTAATTTATTCAGTTGGATACTAATTCAATTTTTTATTATGTCTCCGACCAGAGTTGGCAACTTTAGTCCAATTGTAAATGTGGCGCAGTTGCCGCCAACCATTGTTAAATCGAGGTCAGCGGTAGTGGAGTTCTACATTAGTGATCGAGCAAAGAAGTATGGTATGGTACAGATTTTATACATGTATTACATGTGTACACATGCCTACAATATACATGAGACCATACTCGATAATGTAACACCGAACTTTCAAGTACAGCATAACCATCAACTTTTTTTGAACGGCCAAATTTCGAGATATTTTATTAGTCATGGTATTTTGCATTATATAATAAAGTATCCCCGCACCGATAATTTTTGATAGATCATCTGTAGGTCCCTGAAATTTTATATGCATATATAGTACATCACAAACGCTGATCATTGATACCTTTTTATTGATTGATAGAGATTCTATATCGGGTATTGTATGTTCATAAACTTTCACATCCCAAATATAATCAGTCATTTCATAACACACATCCCAATATCCAATAATCTAATTCTTAACATCCAGTGATCCGATTTGAACAAAAATATACTGTTCGATTCGTCTCGACTAGGCGAATCGAATAGTAGTATTTTTGTTCAAATCGGATCACTGGATATCGAAATATTGCATCTTAAAGTAGCAGATTCAT